GGAGAGAGAGAGAGAGAGAGAGAGAAATGTATAGAGAGGTAAAGGGAGGGAGAGAGATGGATATGAGAGAAAGATAGAGAGATAAACTGAATAATACCGAGGCATACATACATACAGGTAGACAAACCGGCAGACAAGCAAACATAATAATATGGATAAAGAAACAGAGAGATAGACACAATAAAATGATTGTTTATTTGGGTGCATGCAAGTGAGTATAACCCATAGTAAAGACAACGCGATGTTTCAAGCGTCTTTGTGTGTCAAGCTGAAGATCTAAAGAAAAAGTGCTCCCCTACGATAAAGTAACGAAAGTGTTCACACAATGGATGTTTGAATCATCCTTATATTCTGTTCAAAATAAATTTTAACCGGATGAGAGCAAAGCGTCACAGTCATTTGCCATAATTTACCGTATGCCAAAATACGAGGTTTTCAGCTGAAACCAAAAAAAAAGAAGACCTCTTAGATTGTATTTCGGGCAGGACAGTCTCTTAATAAAAAAAACCAAACAACTTTGCATTTTTCTAAATCCATTACTTATCTAAAAATCGGAAAGAGACAAGGACCAATCGACGTTCCTTGTTAAAATCTACAATAAACCACATTTTCATTTTAATGAATTTTTAACATTTTAAGAAGTTGAAAGACTAGGACAAAGTGATATTAGAAAACAAACACCTACATAAATGAGACACACTTTAGAAACAATAACTACGAAAGCAGTTTGTGCTTTCACAAGAACGTTGTCATCAACAAAGAGATATAAAATCAAAAGAATGACATTTGCTCTGTGAAAGATGGATACTTGAAGAATTATATTTCGAGTCGAAGTGAGCTGACATCATCATCTGATTTTTGTCCATTGTTTGTTGATGTCTTGATTTTACCATGTCTGACAGCAAACTGTTTGTCTCACCATCTAACGGTGCCAAGTTACACAGAAAGCGTAAAATGTAAATACTATGGTAGTAGACTTGAGTAATACGTGTCATCATTATTTAGGTATATGTCCAGATAATCTCTCTGTAGAATAAAGAGTTAGGACATATAAGAATGTAGAGAAACATTTCTGACAGCGCATTTGTTTTCGGGGAATCTACCTCCTTCCTCAAGCCCTATTTATGTCGTACTTAATTACTGTGTGAGAAGCCCATAATTTGAATCCTGTGTTTGGCATTCTTAAACTAAGGTTGTTTGGGCACTTCTATTCTATCTACCTACTAGTGCCTGTTCTTTTACAGACCTATATCGAAGCTCCACCTACAGAAATACGTATGTTGTGGTTTACATTCGTAAAGCTCACCATATCATAATGTTTTCACCCCTTATCACCATTGGTTTTTAATGCCAAAGACTTGTACGACATTTATTGGAATCCAAAATGCAGGGAACTAATATAAGTGAGTTTTTGACAACTGTAAGATGACACTACCACCATTGATTGTAAATAAAACTCTCTCTTTCTTCTTTGCAAACTGGAAGTCGGAAATTTCAGGTTTGAAAAAGGGTGAGAAAAGGGTAATACTCGTAGAAGCGAGCATAAAAGTATGATACAAAGTGGCGCCTCCTGAATCAAATCTGCTTCCAATATACAACTACCTTTATTGCTTATAACAACCCTACTCCCCTGCCCCTTATTCTCCCCCCCCCCTCTCTCTCTCTCCCCCTCTCTCTCTCTCCGTCCCACCACTCTTTTCTTCTGTCTCTCTCTAACTATACTGAACGCCATTTTAAAAACGCAACTCTTCGTTCGCAGAGTCTGAACACGTTTGTATCAAATGAATTATATAGCTTAAAAGATCTTTTTTTTAAAAGTTTATTCAATTTCCAACAAATCTGATTGATCACACACTTAAACTGATTTCAATACACTGTCCTCCTTCTTTCGTAGTACCCCCTTAAGACACATTTGCAGATAAACACAAATCGGAACTCAATAAAGATCTCTCACCCTTAGTAAGTTGTAAGGTCATCATCAACATTTATACAGACCGAAACACTTATTCAAATAGATTTTATAACTTTTTCAATGTTTTGTTTAGAAATTCTGTCCCACTTTCACGGCAGCGCGATCCCCCAATAGCAGCCGATTCGCAAAACGGAACACTCTATGCGTTTCTGTTCTTCTCATACGTGCGCTGTTGGGGACATGTTAGGATCTTCCAGAAACTGTGTTGTTTGTTAAGTGTAAGGGTACGAGTGTCGTGTTGGATGACTGAGAGATTCTGGTTTTTTCTTTTTGCTGTTTTGCACCGTGAAGATGGCGCTGTAGTCGCGGCTTCGTTAATTGCAGTCCTAAATAAGGCATTCTTGATCTAAGTCCCGAACTTACTGCTCCGCGCCTCACACTGATGAAAGAAACATTTTCAAGCACTCCATGCATGCCTTGAGATGTTACTTTTGAGGAACAAAATGATTTCGCAGAAGCGACAGCAAAATCTGCCTCTCTTCAAAAGGGCTGGTCACTCCAGACTGCCCTATTGTTTGCCCATCCTGGACATTTCAAGTGTGCTAAAATCTTTGCATAAGTTGAGAACAATACAAGCACCTCGTTTTAGCCGTGTTGTTGCTTCTCAGGCAGATTTTCCGCCATGAATAAGGCGCAAGCGAAAGTTGCGATCAGCTTCGCAAAGTTGAGGAGTCTTGAAATGAAATAATTTTTTTTTTATAATTAAAAAAACAAAAACCTTTGTTTGGAAAGAGCTACAGGTCATCTTCCAGGTAAATAATTGTGTATCTGTTTATAATAATAATAATATAGCAACTAATGAACTCATTTTACTAAAGCATAGTTAACTGTTTGAGATGAAAAGTACTCATGGAAATAGCAACAATCGTGCAAGAATGTGTATACTAACAACTGCTCACTTGTGTCTAAAAAATTGTGACGATCGGAGCATACTTTGCTTTAACAACTTTTTGAAAACGTTGTGTTTTTAATGGTATTCAGTATATGATTATATTCTTTGACGTTATATTTGTATGTTGTTTTCTCCTGCTGCTGCCTGCAAAAAATATACTTCGTTTTCCAGGAAATGGATTTTGGGCGGTACTTAAGCACAGAAAGGACTATTTCATTATTCATAATGGAGTGTGTTTATGTGTCTGACTGTCTGCCTGTCTGTATGTATTCACATAAATGCATACGGAATACTGTCTGTGAGTATTTGCACGAGCATAGTTGCACACGCGTGTCTATTTGTTTGTATAAGGGCACCTGTATGTGTCTATTATAATATGTTTACTGTGTAAGTACATGCATAATTCAGAAGCACGTCAGAATGTCATCTTGGAAGCGTGTTTCCACCTTCATTTTCATCCTTGTTTTAAATATTGGCTCTTCTCCTCGAGTGAAAGGAGAGGGGGATCGGCGGACCGGTTTTCTGAAAAGGCTAAACCTGCGCTTGGCATCCATTGAGATAACCTGTTCCAAGATTACCTGGGCCTTGTCCTTTTTTATAGAGGGGAGCAGATGGTCCAGCCAACTAAGCTCATATTGGGTGAAGATGCAGTCCAGAATCTTACGGATGAAGCAGATGGCCAGCACCTTTATAAGGGAAATGATGAAAAGGGTATTAGAAATCGAGACGAAATGGAAATGGGGGAGGGGGGGGGGGGGGGGGGG